TATGTCTATGATCCAGTCGGAGGTGCCATGGCAGCATGTGTAAGCAGACTGGAGGAGCACAGCTGGCTTTGGTGTAGCTAGCTCAGGTCCCCGTAGCAGCCTAACGATGGCAGTGCAAACTGAGTGCAGCCCAGGGTGCCCAGAGGGCTTGTTTAGCCGGGGTGCTTGTATATGTGATGCCATTACCATGCACTCGTAATGAGAATGTAACTTTGTGTGGCTTAATGGCATCATGCTGTACATGTGCAAGAGTTTTGGGGGTTTTAAATGAGTCTGTATCATTGCAAATTGCAATGATGTGGCTGTTAGCTTGCCCCACGGCCATGGGGGGAGGCAGACAGGCTCCACAGAAAAAAAGGATTGGGCCTCTCTCTGCTTTTGCCTTCAGCAGGCTCCTACAGCTGGCAGGATGACTGGGACCACCTGGGAATGGGCTGGCTTGCCCCCTGGGGCAGTGCAGGAGGGCAGCTGGGTTTGCTGGTGGCTGGGGAAGGTGGCAAGGATGGTGCACAGGGCACTGGAAGAGCAGGCTGGGGAACATTTGGATCAGGCCAGGTGCTGCCTCCAAGCTGGGGCAGCACCTGACCCACTAGTAGCCTACGCAGGTGGCCTGAGGCAGCACCACCACTGCAGAGGGAAGGACTGGGGTGCCCCACAGCTCGGGGGCCACTCAGCCCACTGGCAGCTCACCCCCCTGGCCTCAGGCAGGCTCCAGCTGCGACAGGGGAAAAAAAAGAAGAAAGGATCTGGCCTCTTGCTGTAAAGTGACAGTGGGTTTCAATTAAAAATGCACCGTTTCAGTTTTTGGGGGCATAAAATAAAGCCCTGAGGAATAAACCCCCATCATGTGTACAAGCGCCCCGGTGGTGAAGTCAACCCAACTGCATCTCCACTGCTATCCCTCCCTGTGCTCAAGGTGACAGCTCTCTCAGATGCACCTGTCTGTCCTGCATGTGCTCCCCCGTCCTCACTCAGGCTCTTTCCAAGGTCTCGGCTGTAACCCCTTGTACCTGTATACTCAGGAGGGCTGTTGCCCCGGTACACTGTGACATGATCTTTAAGGAGCTTTCTCCAGCTGCCTCACTCCCTTCTGTACTGAAACCGCCCACCATCCTCTTTCCAACTCTTCTTCTTCTTCTTCTCCTGTCTGTACACCACATCTGACTGTTTTGTTATAAGTGCTTGTGCTCATTCATTGTGCTTTGTGAGATCTCTCATTGTACATGGCCCTGCAAGCAGCGGGCATTGCAGCAGGTGTTGCATAGTTTGAGGCTCTGTGCCGCAGTCACAGGCAGTTGAACCAGTGGTATAGCCTCACTTCTTCATTAGTTCCTTGGATCATCCAACTCTGGTATGTGGGCGGTTGAGACATCACCACCTTTGCCATGGTTTATCAGTCCCTGGGGGTAAGGACTCAGTGGCTGGAATGTCCATTTTTTTTGCTGTCGGGTATTTTCTTCTTTTCCACAATGAGAGTTAATATTGCTAAGTTCTTGCATGACTTGGGGCACCTTTTTATGTGCTGAACACAGAGGAAATGTCAAGAGCTGGGATTGGGTTGCATGACCAGGTGGCAGGGTGCGGTTCCAGGGGAAAGACACGGAGCTCAGAGACCAAGGTGATGGTGGACACCTTCATAATGCCTGAGCTCACCAGCTAGGTGGCATGAGGAGCAGAGCCCTGGGAAGCCTGCTATGGGAAAGACGTCAGCGTTGGATAGAAAGGGTGGCAGTGAAGGCCTTGTGCATGGCTTTGCACTCATGGCTATTCATGAGCTGCTCTCCATTAACCTTTCACCTCCAGGGGTTCCTCTTGCCATGGAGATGCCATTTCCCTCCTTTGCCCTGGTAATTACAGCTAGCCAGCAAACGAGCCTTTTGCTAATCTCTGACTTCAATCATGGGGCTGTGCAGCCACGGTTGGGCGGAGGAGAGGGATGGAGGGGGAGCTGAGGAGGGAAAGATAAGGAGAAGCACCGCGACCCTATCTTCCCCCTCTAGCCCACTGGGGGGGTCATTGCCTCCAGATCAGCGGACTGGAAGCAGCTCTGCTGACAGAAGAGGCCTGGCGCCAGCCTAGTTTGTGCTACTCGCTCATTCAGCTGCCATGAAACCCTACTGTCGCCAGACACTGCGTCTTCCCAGGGGTGCTGCTGTCTAACCTTGGACAGCGCTATGGCAGCAGCCCCCCTCTAAAGGGGGTCCACACTTGGGTAGCCTTCCAGCTGTTACCATAATGCATGTAATAGGATGGCCACGTTAGATGAGAATATATTGGTCTAAAAGAGCAGCCAAAAATGTTGCTAGGTTCACTTGTTCCCTGCATCCAATCTGCACCCCCACCTGTTCAGGGAAAGAGAAGCTACATCTGGACAGCTGTCTTAATAAAGCAGCACTGGAATCCCTCGACCCCTTCTCCCTGCATGTCCCACCCCTCTGTCCTGGGAGGGATTGCCAAGCTAATGAGGCCTCTGATCTTACTTTTGCCTCTGTCCCTGCTTTGCTCCATGTGGTGGAGCAGCTTGCATCACCTCCCTGCCTCTCTGTAGAGAGGGGGAGCGTGAATCTTGTCCACCTCCTGGCAGCAGGAAGGGTAGGGTAGTTAATGTGTTGAAGTGAAATTTGTCCTGGTGTAAAGGGTTGGCCCAAAGCCTCGGCACCACTTTGCCCCTCAGGTTGGACTGAAGTGGGCACAGACTCTCTGCGCTCATGAGAACGACGCCTTGGTGCTTTGATGCACTCGGGGATCCCCTGAAAGGGCCGAGTGTCATGGAGGGGCAGTGTTGCTTGGTGGATAGAGTGGCTGACTGGGATCAAGAGGCTGAATTTCTCTTCCTGGCTTTGCCACTGGTCCCTTCACCTCCCCCTGCCTCAGTTTCCCCACCTGCTAGCTAATGCTAATGGTACCAACCTCCTCCCTGAAGTGGTCTGGTGATGACTGATGAGAAGTGCTATGAGCTAGTTATTACTACTCTTCCTTCTGATGCTGATTTAACAGACACATACCCACCTCAGTCCCTGCCTGGGGCTCCCAGGTACGACCGCCATGCAAAGGCTGCTGGTAACCCAGTCTCCTGCTTATACTGGGGCCAGTTGGTGCTAATTACCCCAGCTGAGGAGACCTGCACTGCCAGCCGCAGTGGGCTCCTCCAGCTTGGGGAGCGCCTTTTCTGTCCCAGCATCTCCTGCTCTTCCTTTGCTCTTTGTCCCGTGCTGCACCCCGCTTGGGCCTCATCTGGGTTGCGGGGAGGGATGCTCTCTCCGGATGGCGAGCGCTCTGGGAAATTTCTCTCGGCAATGGCAGTTGTGCACTAATTAGTCTGACCTTTGCTTAAATAGGGATCCTTTTGTGGCAGGCGAAGCATCCGCCGTGTCATTTACTATGCAAATTGAGACCATCAATTATATCCAGAAGGTCCTGGAATGTTTAATTTTCTCTCCCAGCTCTTCTCCTTTTTTTTTTTTTTTTATTGGCGTCTGCAAAAATGTTGTAGCGAGGAGCCATGGGGCGGTTGTGAGGCCAGGGCTGGCAAGCATCTAGGGTTAGAGCCCAACAGGCACAAGCACCGTCGCTCATCCAGTTTTCATCTTGCTCCCTCTCTGATTTGAAAGTTTTAATTAGCTGCCTCTCAACCGCCTGTCTATTGGCTGGGCCGGTCAGCTGCAAAGTTTCTGGAGCTGTGGTCACAGGGGGAGCCTTAGTCAAGGGAGGAGCATAGAAACTGCCATAGCAGAAAGACAGTGACCCTTCCGGTTCCCTCGCCAGGGAGCTCAGGCAGATGCTTCTGCAGAAGCTGTGCAGCCTCTGCATTGCAGGGACCTTCTGCTGTAGATGAAGCTTTGTATCCTTTCAAGTCAAGGACTTTGGTGCCTTGTCCTTGTGCCAGGGCTGGTTGCGCCCAGCGTCCTGAAGGGGCAGATGTTTGAGTGCTGGTACACGAGCTGAGCCCTCCTGTCGCCACCCATTTAGGGGCATTGCGCTGCAGCTGAGCTCTTTGGAGCATGGTACTTGCCTGGTCCTTTTCTATAGGCACAGGTAGAAGTCCTTCCTGACCCAAACGGTGGGACTTATTCCATATTCAGGAGCATGAGAATAGAAGGCTTTGTTTCAGCCTAGCTGGTGTTATTGCCGTTTAGGAGATGAAACCATAAGTAGCAAAATTCACTGAGGTGACACCAGCAGTGGATTTGGCTTGGTTCCCCTGACTGTGAGCACTTTGGGGCAGAGGCCACCTGTCTGCTCTCTGTGCAGCACCTAGCATGGGAGGGCCCTGGGGCCTGACTCTAGTGCAAGTGCTTTTCCTTTCTGTACAGCACCTAGCATGGTGTTTTATAAGCTGTGTCCACTGGCGCAGCATGCTGTGGGGATGTGAGAGGAGGGAAAGGAAGAAAAGAAATAAAATGAGGAAGAACGCAAGAGTTTCTTTTGGGCTGCTGGAGAAAGGTACAGCACGGTTGAGATGGCACAGTGCTGCAATGGCCTAGTGTTGCTACATTTATTATTCATGAGACAGTCTTGCAGAGTACACAGCCATATAAGAGCTTAAAGGGGGCTGGACAGCTCAGGGAAGGCTGAGTGCCCCTGGCCTGGCATGACGGGGTCATGATGCTGAAAGGGGCTGTGAGATGTTGCTGTAATACAGGGACCAGTCACTGTGGAGAGCCTCTTGGCCTTTGCAGGTCCTTCCCCTGTTAAATAGAGCCTTTCCATGTTTTTTTGCTGATGTCCCAGGGTTGCATATGACTGTGATGTTGTGCAGATGTCATACTGCTTTGCAAGTCCCACGTCCCTGTGCTACAGCGTGTCCTAGTAGCACATGCCAGCGCTGGCAGCAGGGTGTCAATGGTTGCCTATTCCCATCTGCGGGAAGCACCTGAGAATTAAGTCTCATTTCTACCACTTCACCAGGTGCCCCAGAAAGGGGGATTGTGGTCCAAAAAGGGGATCGGGCCAGCTGGCTAAGGGCCTGTCTCAATGCGCTGTGTCCTATCTGACCTCAGGAGGAGTGTGCGTCGCCCAGTCGGTGAAGATCCCGCGGGAACCCAAGCTGGGGGAGTTCGATAAGATCATTCGCCGCCTCCTGGAGACCTCCCATGCCCGGGCTGTCATCATCTTTGCCAACGAGGACGATATCAGGTGAGGGGAGAATGACCCGGCCTGGGGATGGGGGAGGAAGTGGGGAGTGAGAGGACAGAAGCCGCAAGGTGCTTTGCCTGTGTTGGTACCACCCAACCTCGTGCTGCTCCCATCTGGATCCTTCCCGCTACGTGCATCTACCGATGGGGTTTTACAGACCCATGTTGCAGCCGGCTCTGGGATGTCCATATACTCAGCATTGGGCATGGGCGGTCTCCTGCTGATGCCCTCCCACCCCAAAAAGGCTATGACAGTCTACCCAGGGTCGCCCTCCATTGAGGTCTGGGATAAGTATAATCATGGGAGCCAGGCTTGTGGCGGGAGCAGGAATCTGAGGATGGGCGTATGCTGCTGTGGCAGCAAAGTAGAGTAGGCCTACCCAAACTAGCTCTGGTCATAGCTGTGGCAGCACACAGCTCAGCCTGAATATCTCCCCAGCTTCCCAGGCTGGTTTTGCAGGTCTCTGATTGCCACCTTGTCCAGCTAGACCACTGGTCACCAGTACATCAGGAGCACCCTGGAGGCCTGGCACTTCCTGCCACGCCTGCAGTGGAGGCGCACTGCGGGTGCCAGTCCTCTGTGGGTCGTATGTTATGTCCTCCCAGCTGACACTTAGCATGACCTCAGGCAAGGCATTTGGACCCAGGTTTTCAAACAGGGACCACAGCTTTGGGTGCTGCCATTTCTGGGAACGCACTTGAATGCCTCACAAAGAAATGCCACCCCAGCAGTGTGGGAAGGGAGTGCAAGGTTTCTGGATCTCGGGCGCCAACACAAATTGAGGCCACATACTGCAGTTTACATTGTTTATGGAGCTGAATGATTTACATTGGATTGCACCTGATTTTGTAAGTGTCTAATTTATTAATCAGCAAACATTATGTGAATGTGGGTAAACCAGAGCTTTAAATCAGTTTTCATCAGCTATGCAAATGCTCCAAGTTTCTTTTTGCCTCTCAATAATAGAAATGTCTGAAATCCTGACATTTACACTTGCTTCTGCTGCAGAAATCAGGGATTTACCTGGCTGTGTAAATGGCAAACGTCATTAAACAGGGGCTTGTAAACATTTACCCATCCAAGGAGCGTGCGCAAGTGGAGAATTGTGTCCCATTAACTGTGGTTTACGCACACAGCCACATGTACTTGGAGGACTTGCATCCTCACCAGCCGAGATCTGGCCCATAGGTGGGTGAGTCTAATCCTTTTATAATGCACCTAATTGCTCTCTCATTGGGACTGTGGGAGCAATCTAGGGCCTGCATCAGGTTTGAGCCCCACTGTGTCGAGTGCTATAAAAGCACCCAGGAAAATCTCCCAACCCCAAAGAGTTTATAACTGAGTGTAGTGTCATGCAACAAAACCCAAAAGGTTTAAAAGGCTGCTGCCAGCTGTCATTCAGTTGAAGTCAAGGGCTCAACTCTCCAACTGGTATAAGTGAGCGTAGCTGTGCTGAAGGCAATGGGCCAGCTCCCAGCCAGTATAAAGCAGCCCAGTCCTACTGAAGCCATTAGACCAGATAGCCTCCCCGTGTCACTTAAGGGAACTGCCTTTGCTGGCTTGTGGGGGGTGATGCTGATTTACACCATTTCCATCTGCTTCCAAGCTGTTCCCGCAGCCCCCAGAGCTCACCTCGGTGGGGCTTCCTGGTGAGGTGGCCTGACCCGCTCACCCTGCTTGGGAGCTGCTGGGTGTTGGTGTGTTGGTCGCCACTCCTGAGTTTCTGCGATGGGTCTCTCTCCTTTTACACGTGGATACAGGGACCTGGTAATTCAGAGCTTGAGCCAGAGATCACATGAGGAAATGTGGAGAGGAGGAGGATGACTTCCCACCTACCCATCCCAGTGCCACAGCTGCTGCCATCAGGGCAGAGACTCTTGGTGGCTTCAGGGGCTTTGGGATCAGGCCCCAGTAGTTAGCTGTGTGGGGCTGATCATAGCGGGCTGCATCGCCCCAGCACGGCCCCGGTCACCCTGGCACCAACGGGAGCATTTGTCTCGCTCCCGCAAGTTGCACAGTGGCCACAAGCCAAACCCACGCACACGGAGCCCTCTCCTTAGTGCCGGGGCCTCTCCTGCCTGCTGTGGCCTAACCTGGTTTTCCTAATGTGTAGTAATTAAGGGCGGAAATTCAATTACCTGGCAGCAAAATGCAAGTAGGGCTGGAGTTCCTGCCTGGGCTCAGATCCCTTGGGATGAACAGGGGAGTGGGAGGCGTATCCTCCGGGCCTGCCCGGGCACAGTGGCGTGGCTGGCAGCATGAGGGGTCACTTGGGGGAGGCTGTGGTTCCCTTCCTCTTTCTTCTTCCCTCTTTACCCCCTCCCTCCTTTGCTCTTACCCTGCCTTGCCCTCTCCCCCATTTTACCCACCCTCTCTGTCTTCCCTCCCTCTCCCCTCCACATACACACCAGTGTCCCCCCCAAGCACAGCTGCCCCTGAGCACATCTGGGCTCATTCCCAGGGCCCACTCTCAATAGGACCAGGCTTGGGCTAACCTGCAAATCAGAGAAACCAAGCAGAGATTTGCGCTGGCTTAGGGGAAATGGTTGAATCAAGCTGGTACTGATGTGGGTCCAGATGAGGCCTCTGTGTGGCAGTGGCAAAGTCAGGGGAACTACTGTGATGTGTGTGGACAGAGGACTCTGCCAGTCAGACTGGCTTTTTCCCAGGATGAAGGACTGAGATGTAGAGAGTGGGCAGAACTTGTCTAAGGGTCTGCCCTGGCTGTAGCTGCCTTATCCTCCTGGCCCTGAGCATTTTCAGACACAGGGGTCCCATGATGGTAGCTCCCAGATACTTTGCAGGGCTCCTTTATCCCCCTGAACAGACGCTAGTTGGCCAACTAGCTGGATGCATACAGCACGGCAGCAGACAGCTGTGTGAGACTGCCAGTCTGCTCCAGCTGTTGGCTGCTGCTTTTACTTCAAAAGTTGCTGCTTCTCCGATCAGCTGGGCTGGACCTCAGCTGGGCTCCACCTGACTGGCGAAGCAGTAGCCTTTGAAGTGAAAGCCACAGCTGAGCAGCTCGCTCTTATTTCATCAACCTGCTGTGATTTAAGTGGGTCACAAAACACCTGGATTGGAACGATCTGGGTCCCGCGGTATTTTGCCGGAGGATGCAGTCAGACTCGCTCCACAGCCATCATCAGGATTTCTCTATCCTCTCTGCCCCACTTGCTCCCCTAGCCTCATTCCTTGTAACTTCTCAGCAATAATAGCTGAATTCCCTTAGGACTCTGGGCTGCCTGTTATCCTGACCTCCTGATTTATGCAGGCCCATTTCCCCAGGCACCTGTGTTCCCTTAATTGCTTTTTAATCAACAGCAATAGTGATACAGTCATCCCGGGTCCCTTACTGCCCTTTCCCTTCTGTTTTCCTGTTCAGGACTCATTAATTCTTGCTCACCGTAGAGTCCTTGCTGTTTTCATCCAGTCAAAGTGCGTCCAAACACACATGTAACCCCGCTTCTCATTCCTTCGGTGATGGTTGAGCTGCACCAATATATCCTGCCTGTCTTTTGCAGGCTTTAGGTTGGAGATAGGCATGGGCGGATAATAAGAAAGCTACACTGGTTTCTGATAGTCTTGTGTTAACTAGGGGTGTCAAACATACGGTCCATGGAGGCGGGTCATCCAGCCTCTAAGGACTGGACCACCTACCTCTACCAGCTGTATTTGTTCCTCAGCGCTGGTTTCCACAGCTACCGGAGATGCTGTGGCAGTGGTGCAAATCCCTGCAGACGATGGAGCTGCTTTTTCAGTGCAGTTCTGGACCTCAAGGAGTTAAAGACACGTGTCCCTCCACCTTCCCCCGCCCCACCAGAACTGGGATTTTTACTTGCCCCTGGCTGCTAATATTGGTGGCAGAGGAAAAGAGGGGGTGAGCAGCAATGGCAGTAACTCTCTAGGTTTTGGAGCCGTGCTGAAACAGTGGCTGCGGCAGCTCTGGGAATTACTGCTGCCTCCACTGTTCTCAGTTCATCCAGCCTGTGGGAAACCCTGCAGTCTGAATTCAGCCCAAACCAGTTTGACGCCCCCCCGTGTTAAACCAATAGAAGCTGCTCATAGGGCAGCGTGAGAGCGTTTGCATACAGGTTTGTACTGCGCGCAACTTTAACTACATCGGGTTCAGTCTGGATCTTAAATGAAACCAGTGCTCCCTTTTTATATAAGCAAGATCATGCAGTGTCGTTCATGTAGTTCACCTTGCTTATTCAGGGATTTTGGCTTTATTCTACTCCACAAGCTCTGTCCTATCATCATGGTGTTACTTCAAGTAAACTCTGTGGGAATCAGAGTAGTTGCTCTAGTAACACTGGTGAATTGGGCTCTTTGACTCACATTATGGGCCTCAGCCTGCACCTACTTCTGCCAGTGTAAACTCAGGGTAGCTCTGCTGAAATCCATTCAGTTGCTCTGGATTGGTACCCATATAACTGAGACCCAGGCAGATTTCCCCACACTTATCCACAGAGGCAGAGCAGGTTAGTCCAGGTCTACATTGCTGTGATTGACAACAGAGTGAGTTACTTTGCATTAACATTGGAGTGAAGGGGAGCAGGCTGAGTCCATGTGGATTTATGCTGTGGGGGTTTGGAGGCCAGTTCGCCTCTCTGAACCCAGCTCTCCAACCTGGCCATGTATGAAAACTTCCACTACCCAAACTGCAGGGCTCAATTCACCATGATGTCACTCCAGTTTCAATGGAGCCACACCAGTGTGAAACCAGACTAGCCTAGCAGTGGAATCAGACCTGGGAGCTATTATATGCAGGGGGTGGTGTTTCCTACAGGAGACCTGGGACCCCAGTGAGTAACTTGGATGTCTTGCCAACACATCTGCGTTGGAAACTTGAAATCCATTCAAAACTAGGGCGGCCCCTGAGTCCAGGCAGCGTCCTCGCTGCACAGAGCAGCACCTGTCAGGCTGGTGCTCTCTGCAGTGTGACTCTGTGGCAGGAGGCTGGACTGGGGATTGCTGCTGCAGGACGACAAGAGCTGACCTTCCAGAAGAGGAAACAAGATGCAGCTACTGGCACTGAGGCAGAGCGTGACATGCTCTTGACGTGTTTGGCAGAGCACTAGCAGCTCGGTACGATCTACAGACAAGGAGCAAACAGTGACTGGGCGTTGTAACAAGTAGAGCAAGAATCCTGGCCTTCCCCGGATGTGTCTGTGTGTCTGCAGGTGTCTATTTGGTGCCCTGAGGGGCAACCCTCAGTGTTTTGTGTGCAGGGTCCCAAGGTGGCTGGCCCTTTGTGGTATAAATTGATGTGGGGGCAAAAACTGGGTCCCCAGAGTCTACTTCTGGCTTTTCTCCCTGCAGGAGGGTGCTGGAGGCGGCGAAGAGGGCCAACCAAACGGGGCACTTCATCTGGATGGGCTCGGACAGCTGGGGCTCCAAAATCTCTCCTGTGCTCCACCAGGAAGAGGTGGCTGAGGGGTCTGTGACCATCCTGCCCAAACGAGTGTCTGTCAAAGGTACGCAGGGCACCTGGCCTGACTCTGGGACTCCGTTTCCTTGACTCTCGATGCTCACACCGGGAAGTGCGGGGCTCTGGGCTTTCTCTTCCCTCCTAGAAAAGAGAAGTATTTTCCCTTATGGGTCATTAATATGCATGAGCTCTGCCAAGTTGAAAACATAGAGGAGACGAGGCACAAGGAGAGGTGTACCATGATGAGAACTCAGCAAGGTTGGGGTTGTTTCCTTGCCTGGGGTTGGCTGTACCCATCTTGCCATCTCTCTGACACGCAGCTCAGGTGGGTATTCCCCTGTACCTCTGTCTATGCCTCTGCACAGAGCAGGGCCAGTCCACCCTCCGTCCCAGAGGAGCAGAGGACCCCAGCTGCCAGGTGCCCTGGGTGCAAAGTGGTACCTTGGAGTATTTGCATCTGTGTCTAAGAGGGGGGACCTTTGCATCATGCATTTAATAGGGGCTCTAGGTAGAGTTTCCAGGGGAAAAATCAGACCCAGACTGTGTTGTAACCAGTGTGGAAGGGGCCTTGTTATCGCCCGGATGGGAGGAGGAAGTGTGGGAGCTGAATTTCTGTGCTTCACTGGAATGGAGAGAGCCTCTGCCTCCTACTCGCACACGCGCCACTTAGAAAACGCCTCCCTAACAGCCCGGTAATTATGATGATGCTTTACAGTGAGTGATGGATCCCAAGCGAAGTGGATAAAAGGCGAGTGAATGAAAACATTATCGGGGCTATGCTGCAAGCGGCAGATGACAATGACAGGGAGTCCAGTGGCGTGTACCGTGGTCTCTGTGTCCTAGGTGGGTAGCTGCCGGGAATCACTGGAGGGCCTCTCTGTGCAGGTTGAACACAGTGCGATTTTCAGCTCACCCCCTCCCAGCCCCAAGACCCCATCTAGGAAATCATTAACACATGGGAGTGATGAAGCACCCTGGTCTTAATACTGATCCATCTTTGAAGGGACCACAGCATCTTACGACCTCCCTAGACAAGGGGCTTTAATTCTCCGATCTGGCTCTGTCCCGTAGGCAGAGGCACGCTCCATCTGTGCAGCACCTCTTCCTTTGTGCACCTGTTTGTCCAGTCCCCGCCAGAGGCAGTAACACATCCCATGCCAGGAGTTGACTGAAGAGCCGACTGCATTTCCCGGGGTCATTACCGGCCATGCCAAGCACCAGCGCAGGGGTAAATGAGGGGTCATGTGCAGAGAATGGTAATGAGGGGCCCTGCTTCATGGGCTGGGTGTCAGGACACCGCCACTGCAGCAAGAACCTATGGGCTTTGCAGGTGAGGGGCCAGCTCCTCCGCTAGGGTCCACTTAGTTTGGCTCCATAAATTTCAGTGACCAGCCACTGCCTGCTCGCGAGGTAGTCCAGTCCTGTGGTGAGAGCGCAGCATCAGCACAGAAGACTCCTGGTTCCGTTTCTGCCTTTCTCTCCAATTTCCTGTGGGATATTGGCCAGATCACTTCCTTTCCTTGCTCCCCCATTTCTTCCCCGCTGTAAAGCAGAGGTTGTGTTGACTTGCTCGAGAGGGTCAGCTAAGGTGAGCTTGCAAAGTGCCGTGAGATCTGCGGGCAGGAATTGCAGTAGCAGTGCACAGGGATACCTGTCCTCCTCTCAAACCACTGGGGCGGGGTGGTCAGATGTTCAACAGCATGCAGCTGTTACTGAGCAGCTTCCATCCTGCCAGCTGGTCCAGTGGTGATGCTCAGCTCCTGGGACTGTTTGTGGCCTGGTGTGTTTATAATCCCAGGGCTCACCCACACTCTGCTATGCTCAAGGCTTGCACAGAGCACTGTCTTCAAACCTGAGGGAGCAGCTGGGATCCAGACGTCCCCCCTGGGGGTGTGGGCGAAGTCAGGGATATCTGGAAGGGGGTAACAGGTGGTAAGGAAGGGGAGGTGGGTGAAAGCAACCCCTCACTGGCCAGCAGGCACAGTGCTCTCACTCAGCTGCTACCCTGACAGTCAAACTCCAAAGATCCCAGTGCTCCCGCACGTCAGATCCCCTCTTTGATTTGGCTCTGTGCCCCGAAGCTGGCTCCAGATTTCAAAGGAGCCAAACCAAAGCACAGGATTATGGTGGTTCCCCCACACGTAATGGGAAATGCCAGACCCAGGCATGGTGTCTCAGTCCCTCTCTGAGCTTCCCTGCCTCCCTGTGATCCATGCGATCTGAAACCACGAGGTCACCAGCGCCTGCCTCACTCCCTCTGCAGAAGCTGCCTGTCGCATTTAAGATGTGATTTCATTTTCCCCGGTCACTCCCTACTCAGACTTGCGACTGCAAGAAGCAGAGGCTGTCAAGGCACATTGTGCTCTCACCCATCAATCACTCAGCTGCCTAGAAATCCAGCAGCGAGCACGTCCGTCTCCCGAAAGTTTCTGACACCTGCTGCCCAAGGCTCGGGGCTCGGGACGTGGCTGCACTCTGAACTTTGCAGCGGAGGCCACGCAGCTGTGGAGTGGAAGGGCCGCAGGGCACGGCGAGGGCTGGCGTGTATGGGAGCGTTCATGTCGCTGCAATGCCCATACCTGCATGCGGCATCTCTGAAGCAAGTGGTGAGGGCAGAAGCTGATGCAGGACCTGCTATTTCAGGTCAGGTCCAAGGATCCTCTCCTGCTGTGCTTTGTTGGCACAAGTCCAATTATGTCATGTGTGCCTGAAGGTGACAATGGTGTCCCTCTATGCCGTGAGTGGGGGGTGACCACCACCTGATGCTTTGGAGCAGTGGGGGCCAACCTCTTTGGCATATGCACCAGAGATTAGATTCATGGATGCTAGGGTCGGAAGAGACCTCAACAGATCATCGAGTCCAACCCCCTGCTTGGGCAGGAAAGGGTGCTGGGGTCCAATGACCCCAGCCATTAGCCCCACACCCTCCCCAAGGTCCCCTCCCATCCCCTTCCCCTGCTCAACTAGCTACTTTGCTTTCTGCTACCTGCCCTGTGCTCCTACCTCATCAGCTGCTCTGCTTTCTGCTCCCTGCCTAATTTACTGCTCTGTTTTCTGCTCCCTGCCCTACCTGCCATTGTGCTGCCTGTCCCCTCCCCAGTCTGCTGCAGGCCCCACACCAAGGCTGCCCATGTCACTTGTGGCACTCATGCCACAAGCTGGCCGCCCCAGCTTTAGAGGAGAAGAAAACGGGTCCAAGCTAAAATCCAGAGACCTTCGTCTGAGCCACAGCCCTCCAGAGGGCACGCAAGGTGGAGGCTGTGGCAGGAGACCTGTTTCTGATGCTGCTGTTGATGCTGTGAATGGCCTTGGCCAAGTGTCTCCTCCCCAAGATGCCACCTTAAAAAAGCAGGAACATTCAGGCTCCTCTTCTCTGGTGAGACCTGTGCGTGGACAAAGGGCTGCATGGCCGGTTAGGGGCACGCTTGGCTCCACCCGCCCCATCAGCACCGTGTTTTTGGAGGAGCCCAGCCTATCGGCTGCATGCCGGGCACTCGGCTCTGCAGCACTCCTGGCCCCGGCGCTGAGAGCAGGATGCTTGACACGTCCTTCCCTGGGCTAGTTTAGAAATCTGGCTCTGCAAATACCGAACAGGCGCCTAATTAGCCTTCTCTTGATCTTCATTACTTTAAATCCCTCTATCGTGCTTGTCTCTCGTCGTGGCTCTAATCTTTCCTGCTTTCAATTCCCTTGTCTCTCTGGTGTCTCTAATCACTCTTGCCCTCTCCTCTGAGCAAAAATTCAGCAGCACCGAACGCACGATGGAGCAGACCTCAGCTGAGGTAAACCTGCGTGGCTTCGCTGACAGTGACTGAGCTGTGCCAGGTTGCAGCGGCTGAGGATCTCTGCCAGCGGTGCTCTCCATTTCTATCCTGCCCTAGTATTTCCCAGCACATTCTTGGTGCCTTTAACACATCCTCCTGCCTTTTAATTGCACTGTGTGTACGGCTTCACCTGCCTATTTCCCTACGAGCGGATTCACATCCCATTAGTGCAGAACAGCATTTCATACTCGTCCTCTCCCCCTCCCCCCCGGTGCCTTGCCCCTTCCTGCAATGAATTCCAGTCCACCATCGCCGTGCCCAATTACTAGCTGCCCTCAGCCCTTCCCAGACTTCATCGCAAGCCTACTTCGCTGCGGCTAACCGAAGGAGCCATCATCTTGCAATTTGCAGCATCCTCCAGGTCCCCGGTGAACGTGTGGAACCACGGCAGCACTCCCGCTGACGCATGGCCAACCTCGTTCCACGCTGAGAGCCCATCTCCTCGCTGCCTCTAATGAGCTAGTTTTATATCTTCATCTGCTCCAAGGTTTGCATCAGGAAGCCATCATGTTTCTTTAACAGCCCCTTTGAGGGACTGTATGAAAAGCCCATGGAGAGTCTGCACATGAGCGGCCCCGAGTTCTTCTGCTTTCCATATATTGAAGGAAATTGCTTGAGTCTTTGCACACTAGAAACTGCAAGCGTTAGGAGTGTGGGGCAGAGGGAGCTCTCCCTCCACTGGGAGCAAGTGAGCCTATCCAGGGGCCAAGTAGCCTCTGCCCGGTTCCTCTCCTACCCCCCATCCCAGTGGCGGTACCCTTTGGGGCTAGTGATCTGTGGGCCTTGGGATAGGGGTTGCATTCCCTACGTGGGCTTCTATGCCTTTCTGCAGTGACTTATTACAATGCTTATCTCCATGCCTGAACAAGGGGACATCAGGGTAAGACCCTAAGCAAAGCCTGATGTTACCTGTGGCAGATGCTGTGCTTGAAGGCCGTTCTAGGTGAGGGCTGAAGGTCCGAGAGAGATGTTTCTTCTGGCAGGTTATACCTAGAATCCATTTCAAGGGGTCCTGCAAATTCAGGTCAAGGTTTTCTCCTCCTAGGGCTATCCTGAGGCCCAGATCATTGGCGGCTATAACATCTGGTAGGGTCACAGCAGACATTTGACACCAGCCAGCTCCAAATTACCTCCTCCCAGAGAATAGCACCGAGAGTTCATTTCAGATGGTCATAGAGGTTTCCTTCTTGTTCTGAACTGGAACTTGCCCAAATTACCTTTATATGCAATTTGCTTAGGGCCTAGTTGTGGGAGTGCAGTGCTGGGTGGTGTCAAATCTGAAATTTGTTGTCTTGATTTAAAAAAAAAAAAAGAACATTTTATGGGAAAACTCAGATTGATTGAAAACAAAAATGTCTGTAGAAACCCATTGTTTCAGCAAAACTGCTCATCGTGCTGGTTTCTCAAGGACAGAGATGGGATTTCTGGTGAGAGGGAGGAAAGGCAGAGACGAGGAGCCTTCTCCGTCAGTAGTGAGAGCTGTGGTCTGGGACGTGGCAGGTTCAGGGCCTTGCTTTGTGTGCTGTGGTGAGTGCCGTTGCTGCTGGGAGTTAGTGAATGATTTCCTTTGCTCTAGTTCAGCGGAGCAGCTTCAACAGCAGTAGCTGGAAGAAAGTGGTGGGGAGGTGGGAAATCCATTTTCAAGTCCCTGAATTAGGTCTGAATTAGGCCAGTCAAGGAGTTGGACATGGCCCTGCCACGTTCCAGGTGACAGTTCTCCTCATGGGGCTGTTGGTTGTTCTGGGTGGTTCTTCATGGGCATTTTAGGTGTTTCTTCTTCCATGGACATAGGAACCCCCCTTTCCTCTCTGTTCTCTGTTATGGAATGACTTGTTCCTCTTCTTATGATCTCTGAGATTTCACACTCCCATCTTCTGCTTCCTTGGCAGGTTTCGATCGCTATTTCACCAGCCGGACGCTGGACAATAATCGGCGAAACATCTGGTTTGCCGAGTTCTGGGAGGAAAACTTCCATTGCAAGCTGAGTCGACATGCGTTGAAGAAAGGCAGCAACATTAAGAAGTGCACAAGTAAGGGCCAAAAGGGTGGCTGGTGGGGAAGGGAAGGACTTGGTGGTCTAACAGGGACACCACCAGAAGGACTGGGAAAAGAGGCCGTTTGTGACGGCAACAAGGGGAGCAGGGCATAAAAGCACCGGTCTCCCAGGATGGATGGGAAGATAGAGACTCTGTGAAGATAGCTGGCTCTGTGAAGATAGCCTGCTAGGAGAACTGGTGCAGATGGAGGTGGCCTGGTGGGGCTGGGAGGAGGGTAGGGGCTTGTTGGCGATTGGTGGTACTGGTGCGGGGGATGATGGATGGACAGTAGGGCTGTGCAAGGCTTTGGACCGTGCTTCAGATCCGGCGAAGCTTCGGACACTTTGGCATCTGAAGCAGCACGTCCGGATCGAAGCGCTGGCTTTGTTAGGCTTTGCGAAGTACTTCAGAAAAGCTTCGGAGCCGCCTCGGCGGACCGGCCATAGGGTATAATGGGGAATCAATGAAGTATCTATAACTTTGTTGGTTTTTGTCTTATTTGGATGAAACATGCAGGGGTGGTAGCCCCTGCTGAGCATGCAGTCTGACAAGTTTCAAGAAGATCGGTGCACAGGTTTAGGGGAAACTGCACCCCAAATTCCTGAAAGCAAAACCCATATCATGTGTACGTGTTACACCACAGGGGATGAAAACCGCAGGGCCGGTAGCTCTTGCTGAGGCCACAAAACCTGCCAAGTTTCAAGGAGATCGGTGCAGGGGCTTGGGGGGAACTGCACCTCAAGCTGCGGACAAGCAAAACTCGTAACATAGATGACCCTGTGTGTATTAAGATGAAGCGGGCTGAAAACTGCAGGGGCAGTGGCCCCTGCTGAGGCCATCAAGCCTGCCACGTTGCAAGGAGTTCGGTGCAGGGGTTTGGGGGAGCTGCACCCCAAGCTGCGGACAAGCAAAACTAGTGCCATGGGTGACGCTGTGTGTGTTAAGGCGCAGTGGGGTGACAGCTGCAGGGATGGTGGCCCCTGCTGTGGCCACGATGCCTGTCAGCTGTCGAGGAGATCGGTGCAGGGGGGTTCTGGGGCCCTGCACCCCTAGCTGCTGACGGACAAAACTCGTGCCATGGGTGCTTGTGGGACTGACTGTCTCTGTCTTGGGGCAGTTGATTGTCTGTGTTGATTATTAGTTCTGCTTTCAAGAATTTGGGGTGCAGTTCCCCCCAAGCCCTTGCACGGATCTTCTTGAAATGTGGCAGGCTTCATGCCCTCAGTAGAGGCTACCACCTCGGCACGTTTCACCCAAGTCGGACAAAAACCAACAAAGTTATAGATATTTCATTGACTCCTCCCCCTATGGCTGGATCCCCGAGGCGGTTCCGAAGCTTCGGAGCCACTTCGGCCGGATCGAAGTGGGAACCCAGTCCGGAGCTCCGGGTCAGATCCCTGGCACCCGAAGCGGCCGGATCTGAAGTCGGATCGAATAGCTGCCGACTCGCACAGGCCTAATAGACAGACTTCTCTGTTCTGGATGGACAGGGGCAAATGTGGCTCACGCCAGAGTGGGGGGGTGGCCATCAGGTGATTTATACAGCCCTGTGGGTATCCATGCAGGTCACAAATGCGGACTTTTCCCCAGGCTCTTGGGTGCAGCCTCTCAGAGTGGGAAATTTCTGTTCCTCAGACCATCCGAACAGCTGGTCTGGAAGGCAGGACATGTGGGCTGCAAAAGCAAGGGGTACCATAAGTGGGGATTAAGGGGGTTGGCCCAGCTCTGTGGTGGGCCTGGTACTGGAATATCCTTGTAGATGCTTCTGGGGCACTGGCCACGCTCTGTGGGAAGCAGAGTGGAGAATGCTGCAAGTCAAGATGATGGGGCATTAGCAGGACAGTGGGGGCACAGGATACCAAGGGCAGTGGGGGGCAGCAAGGCAAGATCAAGAGACGTTTTTGGTGCAGTGTCTGGAAAGCTATTGACTACCTCATCTCCACATGTGCTGAAATAACAGAGGACTGCCTTTATCTAGCCTAGGGCTGGGCAAAATGCAGCCTGCGGACTGGATGTGGCCCGCTGGGCCATTGTATCCGGCCTGCAGGGCTCCTAAAAAATGTAGAAAATTAATATTTATCTGCCCCTGGCTGCCTGTCGTGCAGCCCTCGATGGCTTGCCAAAACTCAGTAAGCGGCCCTCCGCCTGAAATTATTGCCCACCCCTGATCTAGCCACGTCCCCTGAGCTCCTTCCTCCACTCCTCTTCCATAACCTGGGGGGGCCTTTCAGCTCTTACCCCTTGGGTCTGTTTTCTTCCTGTCGTATGTTCATTTCCCTTGCACTAATTCTTGCCTTTCCTCGTGCTAATTTTCTCTCTTGCTTGCTTGTAAAATTCCATTATGCTGGCTTGGCGGAGCATCAGCCAGATGCATCTCAGCTCCTTCTTCTGAATCTTTCCCCCTCCTCCCCCCCATTCCCTTGAGAAAACACATTTAAAATGATTTATTTAAAAATGCATTCCGACAGGTTATAGAGTTGCACTGGGCTGGGAGGCAGTGCCACGGAAATGTACCTCCAGCCTGCTCCACGCTCCCATAAAATATTCAAGACATTCATATTACTCGGGGCGGCTCTAAAAATGTTTCGTTTGGTTTCCTTGTTCCATCTCTCAGATCAGCCCCGTTGTGTTCCTTATTGCTGCGTGGCTGCCTTTGATTCTTCTCTGAAATGGGAATTGGCAACCAGGAAGCTCTCCAGTCCCCCTTTTGCCTGGCACCTACTCGCGGAGTAATGCTTCCCTCTCAGCTGAGTGCACCAGGCCATCACGAGGGTGTCCTCTGATGAGGCTGTGCACTGAAAACCACACTGAAGTACAGATCAGGGAGATGAAGATTGGAGGCCGTGGGGTGCCCTGGGAGTGGTTGTGAGTGTGGGCACGTGCTCCCATGCGCAGCCTTGTGCCCGCAGTCTCCTCCATCCCTTTTGTCATACGTGGGTGCATTCTAGCGAGCACACTTATGTCCATTTTCAACAGCACACGTGCAAACTCACAGGTGCAAACTCGCAGGAAGGCATCTTGTGCACAAGTTTTCAGACACGCACACTTTTTCACTTGCCCTGCTGAAATGCACACGTTATTTTGTACATACCTGCCCTCCTGTGTGCACATGCATGCGCACACGCATGCATGTGCGCGCACACACACACACACACCTGTGCAGATGTATGTATCTATGCTTCCTCACCCTGACTCTCCCTGCTGTGATCATCAAGGTGATTGGCACTGTCTTTTGGAGGCTCAGATCCACCTAGAGTTCAGGCCATGACACAATTTTGCCAATTTTTGCCTTATTCGTAGGGGGTTTAGCTCTTTCACCCTTTCCTTCCTGTGGGAGAGACTTGACTTTCCCCGCAGGAGGTAATAACCCCAGCTGCCCTCCTGCTCCTGGCTGTAAGCAGCCAATATCCTACGTGAGTCCCTTTCAAAGGCGTTGGCTCGCACAATGGCGTTGTGCCTCGATCGATAGCACCGAGCAGGCAATTAACAGCCTGGCAGCTGGTTACTGTGTAATCGTGCCGCGTGGGCAATGGAGACAGGGTCTGAAACATGTCTGCCCTGGCTGGGACCGGGCCTTGGGGGCTGTCGTCTGCTCTTTCCCAAAGCTGTTCGGTAGAACAGGTCAGGAGGTCTCGGCCTGGATCCCATGGGGCAGAGATCTGGATGAAAGAGTTGAGGACGAGCATTTTGGATGTGCCTGTTCCTGTAGTGCCAGAGCAAGAAGCCACTTGAGGGACTGTCATGAGTGCCCAAACTGGTCAGCAGTGTCAGGAGACAGGCTGGGGCTGAGCAAAGCATGGAGACTGCACAGCTCTCTCCCTTCTGGAAGTGGGTCTTTGTATGTCTGGGCTGAGGCACACAGGCAGAGTGAGTAGGGAGACTTCCTCTGCAATCACACTGGCGCTTGTTGTGTCGGCTTCAGTTCACGGGGCTGCAAGTTTCATCTGCTCTCACCTTTGTTGAGACTAGACCGGAGGAAATCCTGTCCTGGTTCAAATAGGTGCAGCACCATCGACTTCACCCAGATATTAGCTCCTCGCAGGACAGCTTCCGAGCCTGAGGGCACTGTGTACCCACCGAGGTATCGGGTAGACTTGACCCTTATGTCCATGAAGGCCCCTTTATCCCAAGGCGGCAGTGCAAAGGGGCCTTAAATCTGGTGCAAGTTGCATTTATGTTTTATGGAAGTCCATGTCACATGGCCAGGTACAAAGAGGCTGGAGTTTCACCAAGAGTCGGATCTGCATTGTCCACCCAGTTGCACACAGTGGTTTCATCATCTCTCCAGTTTACCTCCAGACTCATACCCCTGCCTCCTTCTCTGACCTTGCTTCCAATGGGTAGAGATCCACGGCAGGCGTAAAGCAACAGTCTTGATGCCAGCTGTGGCACTGCCCCTTCGCCTTCCTTGATCTGCGTGTTCAGATCCTGACCCCCAGATCTACGCCCCCCGCCAAGCCCCAGCTCTCTCCCGAGTGCTTTGAAGCATGATGGAGCCCACAGATCCTGCAGAGACAATGCATCTGGCGAGGAGGGTGAGTGAATGTGACAGCATGGAGATAAAGGAGCTGCTCCAGTCACTTTCTGTGCCCCTGGCTCCAGGACTCGGTATCATTTACATGGCAGCCAGTGTCTCTGGGTTTTCTATCTTCCCCTCTCCCCCCACCCTTTTAGCAACAACTTCTCGCTGCGTTTCCCCACGAGGCCAAATATTTTCATGGAGCACAATCTTTTAATTGGTGCTGGAGGCACTCGGTTCCCAGCACCAGGGAATCCATCATTTCACATCTGCGAGACTGCCTGTTTGTATAGAGGCAAGTCTACGTATAAAGGCACAGGCAGAGCCTCCCCCTGCCTCAGCTCTGCCACTCCTGCTGCTGGAGGGACTGCATCTTCCTGGGCTCAGGCCCCAGCACGTGCCACCCTGGGGTCTCTAAGGAGGAAGACCCAGGTGACCCTTTGATTGTATTTGGAAGCTGGGGGAGAGTCAGGGG